GACTTGAACCTATATGGGATACGATATGCATAGTAAAGACTAACTTTATTTATTCATATTGGATTCAATTTCAAGGGTGTATCAAATGTTCTACCTATACTAACAATATGTTAATAAAAAAACTGAGATGATATCGGTTATATTATAACAACATATTCAAATCAATCTTGTTGATTTTCATGACTTTGCTAATATGAATGATGGTTTCATATATCTGTATATTTTTAAGTTTCTTGTGCAAGCAAGTACTATTGCAACACATCTTGTAAAAGATGTTTTCAAAATTCTTGATCCACCAGTTATTCTTCAAAGTGATAATGATAAAGAATTTATTACGTAAAACATTACTCAAATTTGTAATACTCTTAATATCAAAATCAAACATAGTTATCCTCGGCATCCACAAGCACAAGATCAAATTGAATTCATATCATGATTAGGTGCAATAACAACTGCAGTTCCGAGTTCAATTGTATTATTTACTGATTTTTTGATGAATACTGCCTTGTTGACATAATTTTGAATGATATTCTTTAAGTGATCGGTCTACAGATTGCTGAATTTGTAATACTTGTGACATATGTAGCTTCAATTTCAGATATATCTTGTAGAAGTATCATAAATGCAATAAATTTTCCAAACATAACTTCATGTGGTGTTCGATTATGTGCTTTGTGGATGGTTGAATTATAGCGTGATAAAAGCATCAATAATATTGATCCAATCTTTTCGTTATAATTGATCATGATTATTCCATAATAACTTCATAAATCCACAATCAATAGTTTGATTGAGAGAATCTACAAACTTGAAAACGAAAATTACAATCAATATTTTCCAAACAAGGTACTTTTAAAAGATTAACTTGTTAAATATAGATAATAAATGATATAATAGTTCCTATTAAGCGAAATTTTAAATCATACATATAAAATTAATAAATATATGCAGCCAACTGGTCACATGAATTCAGCATCAGCCGCCACAATAAAATAATCGACTAATTTTATAAGGTAATTTATTACTTTTCAATTTATTATATAAATCTATTGTGAGAAAAATTGATCAATCTAAAATTGAGAAATTTATAAAATTAAAGCTATATTGCAAGAATCTATCGGTAATAATTTCTTTTATTTTTAATTTAATAAAAAAAATTTTTATGAACTGTATATGGAATAAAATTAAAACCGGAATATTACATGTGAGTTGCCATATAATGATAATGATTATTTGGAGACTCAAATCGATAGATGTGTTTAAAGTTTGGATTTCACATATTATTATTGTCATTGAATTATTGGATTTAGAAAGGGATATCATTCAATGTTTTGATTCATAGCCATGGATCTCTTTTTCTATCGAGATTAAAATATTAACAAAATATTGTAAATACAAATAATACGCAATATATTAATATTAAATTCATACCAAGGCTAGAAATCTGAACTTTTAATGCAAGTTGTTTCTCGTCTAAAGTATCCTAAAAAAATTTGACCTAATAATTGAGTATAATACAAAAAAATTAAAAGCGGTTTATTTTACATACATATAATCTCTTCACTTCTTTTCTTAACTCTGATAATTGATCCTTTGTGGTCGCATGATTTTGAAGTGATCTGAGATCTCCTTCAACTCGCTCGATTTTTTTAGCATAATCTCGCACCTAATAATAAAAGTCAAAACTGACGATAAGTATCCTGAATGTTTCAAAAAATGATTACATAGGACAATTAATCACCTTATTCGTGGACAACTGCAACTCTTCAACCGAGCTTAACAAAAGGTTTGAGGCAGCATGATAATCGTCCAACAAGTAGACATACCCAGCACCACTTGCAAGTGTAAACCCGAGAAGAAAACCGATAAGACTAAGTCATTAAAGTACAAATGACCTTTCAGACGTCTAACAAGCTTTCTCGAACTTGGAGTGGAATGCAAGCAACTCAAGTCTTTTAGCCCAAAATACGAAATTGTTTGTATTTGTTTCTGGTTGTTCAAACACACACCGACTCCAAAAGACTTGTAAATACTTCTTTCCCGCCACCAAAACACTCACCCTCCCCGAAAACCACCTATTGGCGTTTTTGACTTTGGTGTATCCTGCCCATTATAATTATTATGGGTCTGCGCGCGATATTCACTGGCAGAAAATGACCGAGCTTTATCTAGTGATAACGGGGTAATTTGACGAAAGGTTCGAGTGATGTTAAGCATCTTTTTTATCAGAAAGGTCTAACACGAAAATTTTTATCGAATCATCATAATTTTAAGAAACTCGCAGCCAGCCAATCACAGAGGATTGCTTCAAGATTAACCACGACGTCTTCCCACTTTCCGTTTTTGAAATTTAACAATGAGTCAAAAGCAAACCTCAACAAATTCACAAGAAGACGTCTTACAGTTTCTTGATAGTCTTGACACATATAATAAAAATAATAATTCCGCTGCCAATTTATCGGCAAGCAATACAGCAACTGGAGGAGGTGAAGTAGGCGGCGCAACAAATGCGAATCAAGCTACCACAGATACTCAATCTGTGTTGGATTTTCTTGATCAGATAACACAAACTGACGTGTCCTCAAATTCGAATGCTGAAACTATACCGTCTACGACTACGACTAATATCAATCTTGATACAACGGATAGGAATTTGTTATCCGAGTCGTCAACGACGACTCGAGAGCAAATTGAAGAACAAAGTAATTCACAACAGCAGCAACAGCAGCAAGCGAATAATCAAAGTGGAAACTCTTGGTCATGGGGTGGGATTCTTGCAACCGCGACAAACGCTTATAAAACAGCTTCGACTGTGGTAGATAGCTCTGTGAAGGGAGCCTTAGTGGGATCGGGAGCCTTGGTTGGATCGGTACGAGCTAACGAGACTACTAAAAAACTAGAGGAGACGGTTCGTGGATACGTCAATAAAGAGGCCATTGAGAAAATTGGTATCTTTTGTTAATTATGAAAATGTAGTGAATAAGCTTTTTTAATTGATCAAAATGATAATAATGCTAACCAATAGGTGCCGATTTGAAAATGTTGAGTCTGAATACATTAAACACGGTGGTCAATGCTGTAGCGCCACCAATTTCGGAACATGAAGTTGTAGAGGTGTGGTTGGCACATGACATGGTGGGATATGTAGGCGTAGAATCACTTGTGCATCGTGCGTTCATGAAAATAATGGAACAGGTGGAAGGTGGTGATGTCGTTGTCCGAAGAGGAAATGAACCAAAGAGAAAAGATTCGGACGGTACTTATAAAGATTTAAATCTTTGTGAGGGTTTCACCGAAGCAGTAGGACTTGCTACGGTAATAAATTCATTATGTTCTCTGTTGTGATACAAACCATAATTCACCCTCTTTTTTTCTTTTTATTATTCGTTAATATCGTTAATAGGCAACTATTGAACAAACGATCAAAGAAAATTATAAACCTATACAGAATGAGAATGAAAAAGAAAAAGGAAAAGAAACGGAACAAGAGCCTAATAGTAGATCTTCTCTTGATAATTTAGTGACTACATGTCCAGTGTTCATGTCAATTCAACCCACCAAAGCAAATCCTTACAGTCTGCCCATCAATAAGGTCAATGACTCTGAATCGTCTACTACTACCAATTCCGATCAATATTTATTCTATGTAATTGTTCTCACCGATCCAACTCACAATCTCAATTTCAAAACTTTTTCACAATCACTTCCGATGCATTGGCTTGATATCCCGTACGAAGAGAATGAATGGGTAGAAGAGAAAATGGTTGAAGCGTTAAAACTGGCTGTTCAAGCGATTGCACAAGATTATGTTTGGGCTCGAATGACTGGTGATGGTCATCATCCACCTGTACGAGTAGAAGTGCCAATTGTTCACGTGTAAAATAGTGATCGTTTTTATTTTTATCTTCATCCAAAGCTCAATATTTAAATCAGAATTTTAAAAAATTCTTAAATTTAATTTATATGCTTATCTTTTAATTAATATATTTTACATAAATTTTGACCGAGATTAATAAAACCCGGATTCAACCGCTTGTATAAATACAAATAAAGTTGTTTGACATTACTGGAAATAAATAATAAATAAAATTGAACAGTTGTCATCCTGACAATAAGATACTCGATTGCACGTAATTCCTGATTACGGGGGATTCATCCATTAATTTGTAACTTTTTAAGCTCATGGATTCGGACGATCAGAAGCAGAACTAAAATACCGTTTTTCTTTGTCAAGACGTCGCAATTCAGACATGCTTTCCTCGGAAGCATAACGATCAGCCAATGCAGAAATAATAGCATATTTTCTCTCCTGTTCTTTTTGCTGTTCTTTATACGCCAACCAAGCTTCAGCTTTGTCATCTTCATCCACACATAATAAATCTTCTGCGCTGTACCGAAGAGGAACTTGCGGGGGACAATCCGAAACTTGCATATGTAAAGCATGACCACGGTCAATCAAAGTTTTAGCCGTCTCTAAGTTACCCCAAAAGTCTGTCACCGGTAAAGATTCGAATTCAGACAATCGGCCTTGAGGTAATTCCTTGAGAATTATATTTTCCCACATCAAAGGAAGATCGAAAACACGAACTGGCAGAGGTTTATTGTTGTTCGAATGAATGTGTGTTCCAGCTTCCATATGATTTGTTGATAAGCTTGTGAAATTACTGAAGTTTGGATAGAGCATCACATAACCGCGAAGATACGCAAGTTCAATAAAATATCTTTTCCATGATTTTCGCCATCGATTAGATCTACTTTCGGGAACAGCTATTTTCTGTATATTTATGGTGACCTCATCATCCATTCGTGCGTTAATATATTCGTGAAATTCACGCCAAATTTCCGGGAAATAAACAGCACCCCAACTACATGGGACTTGATTTAAATAAGGAGAACGTTTTGGAAAATTTCCTTGTTCTAGAACTAATGAAGGATCGAAATCTCTTCGACCAGACATGTGAAGCTCTATACTATTTGGATTGTATAAACTCACACCAAACATTCGTTGGCTTGCAGCGCGATCAGGACCATAGCGATATTTTAGGACGGAATATTTAAGCCAAACATAAAAAAATGGAGAAACTTCGATATCATCTTCCAATAAAACCGCGTAATGATCACTATTATGCGGGTAATAAGATTCAACTACAGCGGGTAAAAGTCCTCCTTGTAAAACACGATGTCGAAGTGCAAGGTCTCCATGATTCCATTGAAATTTGTTACAGTAGTCAAGAGTAACAGGATCAGCACCTCTGTCCATATTTATAGTGAGCGGAAGTCTATCACCAAGATAATAAGATGAATCAAGTGAGCGTAATAATCGAGATAAAGAATCAGGACGATCTTGGGTAATAACTTGTAAATGAAATTTAGGAGTGTTCCAATCTAAAAGATCCCAACAACAATAACAACAATAATAATATAATAATAATAATAAATAAATAAAGCATGAATAAAATATTTATTAAAATTAAAAATGACCAAATAAAAAGAGATTACTTACGTTTTAAAGTATCTATTGTAAGATCAGGTAACCAGGCTAAATGCTCAATATGATCTAATGGAAGTCCGATTCCAGTGATATTTTCAAAATTAGATAAAACAGAGGTAACCCCACGTGAAACGGGATCAGCAGGATCTTTTACATAGATAACTACTTCTGGCTTCAATTTTTCAAGGAGCTTTGAGAATCTTTTAAACACTTGTATGACGGGATTAATTTTGTTTTCAGATGATGACCAACTCATTTCTCCAATATTCAAATCAATAATATTATTAGGCCAATTCAGGCCGTCCCGAGCCATTAAAGCATTCATCCCTGATCTACTTAATCCACGTTGACCACCCGAAACTATAATTTGCAGTGAGTCTTTATGGATATCATTGTTGAATTTATATATTATTGATTGTAAACTATTTGCTTGTTGTATTCCGTCAAGAAACACTACTAGTCTCTGAGGCTGAGAAGGCAGCGGGCTGTAGGAAATCGTGGTTCTAAATCCATTTAGTAGGTAGATCGTGGACAAGACAAGCAATAAGGTCAAATAAATAACAAGTTTTTTCAGGGGTACTGGAGGCATATATAACCGAGCTTGTTCGCGTTTTTATGAAGGAGGTAAAAAGGGACCGTGGTCACGAAATAACATGAAAAAATTAATAATATTATTAAAAATTTGTATTTATAGAAGGTGAGGTAATAAGAGAGAGAGACGGACGTAGGTAGATTAGTAAGTGTGGTTGAAATAAGAGAAGGTTTTGCAATTGGGGTTACGAACCCAAATTGTCGAGGATTTGAGGAATAAATAACAAAGAATTTCCCTTTTTTTTCATTTTAATTGCATTTATGCAAGCTTTAGTTCAAAATAATTACGAAAATGGATGTTTCGAATATTCTTCAAAGATTATTGCGCGTTACTATTTTAGTCTAGATGATGGTTAATTCGAGGGAAGATAATTAAGGTTTACTATTCCCCCCCCCCCCCCTTTTGCTGAGGTTTTATTTGAAAACATTATGTAGACCCCCAAGGATATTTATCTCACATAGGTTACTGCCCCCAAGGTTTTCATTCAGAAAATTAGCATCGCGATTTAATGATATCGATATCAAGAATTTTTGACTAAATCCGAGTTCTGACCGTAATTGGTTTAGGCGAAATGTACGTTTACTTCTAGAATTACACCACTGAAATTTCATTTAGGGGCGTGATTATAAGTGAGATCAGGGTATTATGGTGAAGATGGATATTGCGACGATCATATTATATCAAAAGATATCATATGACATTTATGATAACTTTCGAGATAATGTGACTTCGTCACATTACCATCCTTCTCCACAATTAATATTCTATATTTTAAAAAAATCACCTTCTTTGAATTCTCCTTTCTTATACTCTTCATCTGTATCTTTGCTCTCTGGCAAGTCCAAGCATATTTTATATAATTGAGATCAGAATTACATATACTTCCTAGCTAATAGGGATGAAAATCATTTATTAAATTGATAATGATAATGAAAATGAATGTCGCAAATTAAAATGATTCAATATTATAATAATAATCATGTCACACTAAAATAATAACTTAGATTTATTCAGCATTATTTGGCTTGGATTGGACGTTTCGTGAAAATCAGTCCTTTACAACGGCGGCGCCATATGCAACACTGGATTTACTAATAAAAGCACTATATACCGGTCCAAAAGTTCTAGGCTTGTAAAGGACTTTGACCATATTTCCATTAAAAAACCTTAAACAGTGTTCTCCTGCAATGTGAATTTATCCTGCACTCATCAATAATTTAGTAATATATGACAATTCTAGTGAATTTAAAACACGGTATGCTCTCGTTATAATGACCCTCTTGGAAGATTATCAAATTGTTGTTATGCTTTGTTTTATATTCTATTAATAGCGTAATCGGATATCATGCCGATTTATTTAGGATGTCGTTATAAATTGATTTTATCCGAATTTCAGTAATTTAATCGAACTTGTGAACTTTTTTATAAACCCATGCTAAACATTTGCGAATCTAAATTGATTCTCTATAGATTCAATTAATTTTATCTCACAAGGGCAAAGGCAAACCTCGAGTGGTCGGTGCGGTGCTATTGTAAAAATTTCGTTTTCACGAGGTGGATTTTACACATTAGTCGAAATGTCGAAAATGTGTGGTTATCATTTCAGTTGCTAAATTTTGTCGAATTTGACCGTTTTTTTCGAAAATAGTCCCGAATTCAGAGAATTCGGTTACTGAATTCAGTAAATTGAACCGATTTATGAGATTAATGTTAATTTTTGGGATGTTCCGTTAGTGATACTCTACCATTTACTGTTCAAAATCGCTAAAATTCGATAAATTCATGTCAGCCTAAAAGTCTACCGAAAATTCAATTCATTTTTGTGATTTTATTTAATTATTAATTAAAGTTGGAAAATTTTTGCCTAAAGAATTGTTCCTTTTTTTTTTTTTTTGCTTTGATTGTTTCCATATTCATCGAAAATTCGCAATGCATGTCTATTTTAATTGAATTTAAAGTTCAGTTTTCATGTAAATTCAATATTTTTGGGCTGCAACGAACTTTGGGGACAATTTTGCATAGAACCCTTTTTTATGCAACACATATCTCTCTCTCTCTCTTGTTCGACCGAAGCAATTATTTCTGTAAAACCAATTAAATTGGCAACTAAAATAAACAATTAGATAATACTTGAGAAAATGATTTGAAACAAAAAAAAAGGTTATATTCATTAACCTTCTCACACACTACGTATTCTGTTTTGTTTATTCGTAATACGCGGTAGAATAACAAGGAAAATGGAATCATCAAAAGAGTTGTTCTTTCACAAATATGTATCCGAAACAGTATCTATCTCCTACGAGAAAATTCGTCGTACGCATGTAAACACGCAAATTGTTACACGATTATAATATGTAAGCCAGAAAAATTAGACTCGCGAAAAAAAAAAGTTTTGTCCAGCGTACATTTACTTTAGCGTATTCTGTTACAAAAGATTACACATACAAGCTCGCAAATTTTACATCTCATATATATATATATTCTCATTCACCACAGCTAGATATGCCTGCGTTGTCAATCAAACCAACCGCCGCGCATTTTTGTTTTGGTGTATCAAAAAAGAATATACGTTGGACTAGACAAATTAGGTCGGTCAGAAAAGCCATTGTACTTAAAAATCTGCATATCTTGCATTACATTAGGGAAAAGAGGAAAGAGAAGAAAGAGACATTCTTTCATATTAAAAGATTCTCACACTAAAGAAAATGAGAAAGGATTTGGGTCCCTTCCGATCCTCTCTACGTTCATGCATCAGGAGGATCGTTAACCCGTAGACGAGTCATGGTTTCTTGTGATACTCTCCTAATACGTGTACCATGATTAACACAATAGGAATTGTTTTTGAAGTTTCATTTGCATTTGCATTCTAATAACTTGATGTATTCTAGTTTGGTGATATTTGGTGATAGTTAAGTGTGTCAATTTCGTGTCAAATGATTTATTTATTAATTTCTTAAGAAATTTAAGTGTAAAGTCTAATAAACAAAGGATGCGTCACAATAGATGTCTTGAAATGCTATTCTTCCTTTTTTTATCGAAAGAGAACAGGAAAACGGATTGTAGAAACTTCTTTTTTTTTTTCATTATGTACCATTTTATTCATTATTATTAACTCAAAAAAAAGATCTATGCGTAATGATAGAATCGTGAGTGAACTTTACTCTTTTGTATTTCTTACCCTCTTTACTGGGAAAATCAAATGAAATCGAAACAAAAAGGATAACAATGCGGTCGTTCAACCCACCCTTGGATTATTTAAAAGATTTCATGACATCGCATTTAAATTTTAAATTTTTGTTTTGTTGTATAACGTGTTTCGCACCAGAGCAAACACCAATCAAAATAAAAAAAATAACAAAAGACAGAACAACTTGTCGCTCATCTCCAATAGAACACGAAAAGGATGGATCGTGTGTTACCACATAATTTGTTTGACCAACACTTTCCGCATAAATAGCTCGACCATAATAAGCTAACGGTGACACATGCGCTTTGACACGAAACCGAAAAAATCCTTAATAGGGAAAATGATTCTTTATTGCCAACCAAAATTTTATCATAAATTTTCTTATTTATCAAAACATGTTATTGCATAAATTTTAATTGTCATTTCCGGAAATACAGTGACCTTGTGTTTGTGACCTCTCGTAATCACAATAAGATATGTACATCATATTGTGTACCAAAGATAAATTAAATTAATTTAATACATTTACGAAAATCTTTTAGTATTAAGCAAATCATTGATACGTAGCTTTTACTGAAATTAGGAGTGGAAAAACATTTACAAATGTAAAGGGTGCATATGATTGATTTATTATTAATGCATATAACATATGTGCAGTCGTATTTTCCCTACTAAAAATCTTATGCAAATAACTATGTAATAAATGATAAACACGCACGTAAACCATTAATAAATTCCCCGAATTTTTATTATATCTACACTTTAATATATATAGATATATAAATATACATAAATATATAAAAATATATAAAAATATATAAATATATATAAATATATTTATTTAAATATCATACGTAATGATTGGTCATATGTCGTAACTGCTCCACAAAGTTCAGAATGGGTGGGGCGACAATGTCTGTCGTGGAACTTCATCAAAAAGGAACAACAATAGGCAGAAAAAAACAATTATATTTAATTGACAGATTGAGATAGGATATTCTTCAAACAAAAAAAAATAAATGTTATGCCAATTGAAAATCCAACGATAATTTTCTATCTGGGGGAAGAATCACACATTAGTCACAGGAAAAATCACGCGCCTACACTGTTTTACCGTTATATTACATCTGAAAGCAAATGGTCAAGTCATCGTCACGATACTTGCTTGTCGATACTTTTACAAAAAACATATTGTCATCCGATTAGTAAAAAATCATCAAATTTTGTGATTTCCCGCCCTTTGGCTGAAGAGAACAGTCCCGATAAAAAGAAAAACGCCTGTTTTTTTTGATGTTTGTTCGTGAAATCGATATCGTTATAGTTATGCAATATTTACTCATTCAGTGCATCTTAATTTTTGATCTTCGACTGATTTTGGAGATTTGTTTGCGTTATTTTAGATTTCATTGTCAAGCGAGAGAATTAACTAAATCAGAATTTTTGACCAATCAAATGTACGTCCCAAGAAAACTATAAACGTAACTCTGCAGTGAACGATCGATTGAACAAATTTCTATATATCAAATTCAGATGTGGTAATATTTTTACGTGGTTTCCTTTTTGATTTATGTTTCGTTTACCTTTTTAGGAAATAATATGTATTTATTTTTTTATGGAAATTTCAAGAAATCAAAATTCTTTTAGATAATAGGTTGTATGGAAATTTTGGTAAAAGGGTCCAACAGACATTTATTTTTGGGTATTATTTGTTTATTATTTATTGGTATCAATTTTGATATTTATATCCCTCTATTAAAATAAATAAACATCGCCACCTTTATAAAAAGCAAAAATACTCGTTTTCTAAGAGCCCCGCCACAGTTTTTCTCATTTTCACACTCGTTTTTTATATTCGATATATTATGAAATACATAAATAAATCAAATGCGTGTATGTTATCTATTTAATGTATGGTAGATATTACAATGAGATATGAGATATTTACCAATGAACTCAAAACATTAAATATATATACTTTTATGTATAATATAACTTGCATACAATAAAAGAAAAAGGACTGATGCTAACCATAAAGACGCATATACACAATAATTTTAATTTCTCGCACTACCAAATAGCACCACTAAACAATCCCTTCATCGTGGTAGCAGTGGGAGGCACCAACAAACAACAACAAAAAACTAGAATAACTATCGCATCAAAAAAAAAAAATTAGTAACCTTAACTTTCTCTTTGATCTCTCTTTATCTTCTCGCCGCTTTTTTTCTCTTCTCTCGACTCTTTAAATTTTCTTCTACGATATTAATAAAAAATATAAATACTTTATAATACATAATCATATTAATAACAATAATAAAAAACAATAATAGCATTAATAATAATAATAATAATAATAATAATAATAATAATAATAATAATAAGAAGCATAATAAAGTCATAGACATACATACACATTTCTTCATATATCTCACATTATTATTAACAACAAAAAAGAATCAGCAATATTCTCTTGCGCACATACGCTCATATTTTAATAATACAATAATACATAATCCACAATAACAAAGAATTCAAAGAAGATCGAAAAAGATTAAAGGGTGCGAACGCAAAATCAATAAATAGGCTCTCTCTAATTTTCGCTCATTTTTTATTAATAAAAGTAAATATAAAAAATCACAAAAAATAATAAAATTATAATAGAACATTAAACTAATTTGTCAAACAGAGAGAGAACTTTTACGAGAGAAAGAGAGAAAAGAGGACGAAAAGAAAAAGACTATTCGAAATAGTCGATTCTTACCATTATATATCCGAAGTCAGTATCTTTTCACTCCACTTACCTTATTCCTATCTTCCGCCACCGCCAACATTACTATTGTAATAAATAGGTGAGTAAAAAAATCATGAGCATTTATACACACACACACACACACATACATAGATAGAGAGAGATATATATATATATTTTTTGAACCTTGTATTCGAGGTTCAATAGAAAGCATAAGTTTGTGAGTGTTTTAATATAAGAGATGTGAATATGCGTGTGAATGAGAGATGATAACTTTAAAAAACTTTTATTTATGTTATCAATTCTCGTTTACTCCGCTACTCACTAATATTTAAACATGAATAAACTTTTGACTTTTGCCATCTTGCTTGTCTGCCTGTCTGTTTTGCTGCGAGTCGATGTCTTCAAGTTGCCTCTTACGTTTTCTACCGCGGCGGCGAAATCTGTACAACGACTAAAAGAGTCTAATAAGATGGTTGAATGAACTTCGATCAAATCACCACAATATTATATAATACATAAAATATAAAAAATAATATTATTTAGTATGGTGAATAATATTATGAACCGACAAACTGACGACACAACAATATTATCAATCAATTCAACGTAATTAATATTATTACCCATCATCGTCGACAAAAAAACCAGTACATAATGAATATCACTCAGCCCAATTTAATGTATGTGCGTGTTCCGATTCGCAAAAGAAGGAAAAAGGATCGATTTTCATTTTATATTACATGTGCAGATTCAATAATACTCTATACATCTTAGAATAACAAACCATAGCTAAGCTAAAGGAGAAAAGAGTGGAAAATAAAAAAAAAAAACGCAAAATATATTTCGGCTCAACGCAGCGGATACACGCACATATACATAACACACACGCACGTACACACTACTCCTCCTATGCAACTAGTCGTTATTCTTTTTCTTTTATTAGAATATTACTACAATATACACTTATAAGGACAACTAAAACTTCTCGCCACCAAATGAAAAGTTTTTCTTCGCTCAATTTTATTTTTTCGCATTTCCACTTCTCTTCCTCTTACTTTTCCCCTTCGCAAAAAAACTTTACCCCTTTATTCTTTCTCAATATCATATAACCTCGAATAGTGTATATGTGTATGTGCGCGTGCGCGTCTCTCAGCACATATCAAGTGAATACATACAGTTGCAAGCAAACTAATGTATTTGGGCTTCTAGCCTATAAACAGAACACTGAAAAACAGCTTAGAGTCAGGCAGATAAAGGCATAGACGAACAGAAAGAAACAGACAGACAACATACAAACAACAAAGACAATTACTTTTATTTATTAAACATATATTTAACGAATAGATTTTATTTTATCACATTATATTAACTATTTTTCTTATCCAATAAAAAAAACCATTATTTATTTGTACAATATGACGACGACTGAACTTGAACTCGAATCTCAACAACAACTACAACAACAGCAACTTCAACTTCTACCTGACGAACATCAGCAAGAGCAACAACAATCTCAAGAACAGGAAACAGAAGTTTCTCAGGAACTAGAAACAGTAGCTTCCCAGGAACTAGAAACAGTGGTTTCCCAAGAACTAGAAACAGTAGAAGCCATTAAAGAAACACAAGTAGTGTTATCACAACCTCAACCACAATCACAAGAGCAACAAGAACAATATCAGTTGCTGATAAAAGAACGGGGGGACTATTCTTCTTCACCCGCAATAGCACCCATAAAAGCTCCTGCTCCCATATTTCCTTTTCATTTTCGTCCCAGACACATTTTACCACCTCCCTCAATACCTTATTATCACATGCCATTACAGCATTTAGAGTTTGAAGTTATTCACGCAACCGGGTGGGATAACAATTATCCGCCCGAACAGGTGATCCCAAAGGACAGACTACATTTTGATAACCCTAGCGCTGCTGGTGTAAAACATGGCAAAGGATGGCAATCACCAAGGTAAAATCTCCGATTTAAATGATCAACCAATCATATGTCATATATGACCTTATGACGATCATCGATCTAATCGAAATACTAATATACTCGTATAGATTTTGCTCGTATCCGCAAGAGATAATACTGCAATTGACGAGTGGACCTGCACGAATTCTAAAAATACAAATATTATCACATCACTATAAAATAGCCAGTAAATTAGATATATACGTGGGATCTGTGCAACAACGAAAGGAGATGCTTGGAATGGTATCAGCAAACCCCAACAATAGTAATGTAGTTAGTAAGAATAAACAAGAGACATTGTTATCATGGGATCGGATGCCCAAAATTATAGATAACGAAACTACTTATGATGATGATGGTAACATAATAGAGACAGCAGAAGGGCCAAAAGAGTTAACAGATGATGATGACAAAGATGCACAAGATTTGGACAAGTTAAATGATGGACCGTATGTCCATTTTCGGCGATTAGGTTATTGTTCGTTAGATAGTAACGAACGAGCACAATACAAAGCTCGCGAACTAAAATCTGTGAAGTTAGACACGGAAGGCGAGTATGTACGTTTCGTGGCACGTAAATGCCATTCAAATCATTTGAATCAATATAATCAGGTAATAATAACATTCTTTGTCTTCGAATTTTTATCACGTACCTGCGTTGTGTAGTTAACAACTTTTTTTTTTGAAAGGTCGGAATTGTCGGAATAACGGTGATGGGTGAACCTGTCGATGATTTACTCGATGGCGAGAGTCAGACGATACCTCTTGAAGTAATTATATTGAACATTATGACGTTCCAATTAAATGATCTAATCTAAATAAAAATAATTATAATTATAGCACGTAGACGAAGATGTCTCGCGAGTGGCATCACCTGAAACATGTGTTGTTCCAATAACACATGATATAAATCAATGGCCATCACCCGTTCCAAATTCAAACGCAAATATAAATGACAAAAATTCGATGCCTACAACGACCGCGACCAATGAAAATTTAACATCATCGTATTCTATACTTCCGGCAACGGCTGACGATTATCATTGCGCTGATGATAAGAATAATATTGCCCCAGAAAAACCGGCTGACTTTTTACATGATCCAGAAAAAACTGCCACCTTGGTTGCTGCATTCGGCAGAGCCAAAGTTAAGGCTGTTGATAGTAAGTGATAAATAAAATTTTTTTGATTTTTTTCTTGCTTTGTCATAATGAATCTCTCTGTTACTTTAGTCGAGGATTTCCATCTGGCCAAAGTGTTCAAGCATTCTATTGAACTAGTACAAAAGGTAAAAATTTGAAGTCATTTGATAAAGTTTTTATGCATTATCAATTACTTTTCGAATTACTATAATTCAATGAATTCTTAATTAGAGTGCCATAGAAATCGGAAAACTTGATAAGTTGAAGAAAGAAGCAATCACCGAAGAAAATTATGATGATGCTGCAAAGTATAAGGCAAGTGTATGTGTAGGCCTAAGAAATTGTCTTTGTTACATCTTTATATAGGTCACACTAAATAAGAGATGAGAGAACAAAGATTTATACTTCGAAAATACATAAACTTTCTTTATCTGTCGTCCTTTCCAATTTCTCTTCGTTTATCTAATGGATCAAAATCTATGATTTAAATAAAAAACAGAAGCAGATCGAAGAAATAGAAACAAAAGTCCAAGAAACAATTATTGATGAGGGAATACAACTGGATGAGAGTGGCGAGGTTATCGTTTCTGATGTCAAGGATATTGTTGGATTGGCGGATTATCCGCAAGTGCCGCCTATTGCTGAGGTATGAATTTTAACTTCATTATTTATGCAAAACGTAAAATCTAATACAATTTATTAATAATTCTAAAGACTGTTCATGCACCATCAACGCCGATATCTCAGCCGACGACAATATCGCGAAAAAACACTGAAATGACCTTCAATAATCAAGATCAAATAAAATATCAACGGACAAAACGTCAAGACAGTACCTACAATGACAAATATCCACATTATCCGACCAACATAATAACCGAAAGTCTTCGCCGCTCGCCATCTCCTTTGTCTCTCGCTCCAAAAAGTCGAACAAGTAGTAATGCGTCACGCATGAACGCGTCCGATCAAGAACCATTGACTCCAACATCACCAACATCACACAAAGCAACACTCTTTTCGACTCCCACAGCCGCTACCTCTCTCTCGTTCAATGATAATAATAATCCGACAACATGGGAAACAATTGAGGACGAACGTCCATTGCCTGCTCTCTCAAATTCCAGATCACCAGTTATTCCTCCACTGGTTGATGATGAAGATGAATCAGAACAACTTTCGAATCTTGCCCGATCAGCATTTGCACTGCCTGTCTCGATGTACGGTGAAAAAGTAGTTGCAAATTTATTGTCAAAGAAATTCAAGTTACGTGAAGCTGCTTTGACTGAAGTTATTCAAAGACTCGATGTGAATCAAGGAAGAGGAAAGGATTTGGATGGTGCTGATAAAGTGACCATGGTTAAAGCTGCATTCCATGTATTGGAAGAAGGCTTCAATGATAAAAATACGGAAAAATTGACACTACAAACTATCAGTTTATGGGAAACATTAACTAGTAAGTTCTTTTTTTTTTTATTTCTTTTTTAATTCTACTATCAAATGATATTAATTTTTCTCTATGATTTTATGATAGATTTTGCCCTTTACCATCAAATACCACAATCATCTACTTCCAAACTAATCGAACATACCTTTCCATTACTATTCGCCAAAATATCCGACACAAATCCACGCATAAAACAAAACGCCACCGATCTATTTGTCATGCTTGCAAAAACATACCGGTCGCCAAACCAAACGGTTGTCTCGCTCGTACTAAAACCATCACACTCTCAAACTCAACCACCGAAGCAAGCAAAGGCCAAGGTGGAACTCATCACTCGACTAGTTGAAGAATTTGGAATTGCTATGATTCCTAAAGGCAAATTCGAAAAAGATACTGGGCTTAGTCTTGAGGGTGTTATGGAAGTGGCGGTCTCTTATTTGAATCATAGTAATGGGGAAGTTCGCGATGCTGCCGTGAAATTGGTCGTTGAAGTTTGTCGACATTCACATTCGCATATCGAAACTGTCAAGGGATATCTTGATGGTGTCAAGCCACTAATTGTTGAGGTAAGAATTAATAATCAGCCAATTCAATTATGCAAATTCCATTACTGATTCATTTTAATTATATTTATTAGAATATTCTTAAACTTGTGAAGGCTCTTCCTACGCCTCCTCCAGTTTTAACGATGCTTGATGTCGATGAAGAACTTTTGCACCGTCCATTAGCAAAACGAGGGACTTTATCACGTCTCGAACAACAATTAATGGAAGTTAAAGCATTGGTGAACAATGTAAATCATTTTGTCGCTGATGATTATAACGCTTATATCGCCAACACAAAGAAAAATGTAGCACCAGGATCTTCACAAAATGATGATCAAGTTGATGAACAAGTCATTTCGCCTGCACAACCCGAGCCAACTGAAGTTCCAACAGAAGTTACACCTAAAGTTGATCTCACTCCAACTAATACTACAACGACGAAAAAGACATCGGCCACTGCTAGTAGTCGCACTACCTCGAAAACTGCCTCTTCAACTAAATCTAACACCACAGCAAGAAAATCCAAAAAATCAGAAGAAGTTGAATCGCATACACCTGCTCGTAAACAGAAACCCTCAACAAAACCCAGCACTCGAGCTGCATCTAATGGTAAAACAGTTAGCAATCGGAGAGGATCCACAACAGAAGATGCCAAAAGTTCAAAAACATCTTCCAAGAATTGTAAGTTTATTATCCGTCTGATGATTAGCAATGGGAGATTTAATGTTAAAGTGTACTTTATTTTAACTTAATATTTAGCTAAACCCGTTGAACCATCACCTCCTGCTCCTGCACCTATAACTGAAGAAGCTGACGACGAGTTAAGAAGCGAAAGGTATTAACGATTAGCTGAAATAATTAATATATACGACTTGAATTTAAAATATTCTAATTTGAAATGAATTTTTAGATGCTGTATTTTCTGTGATGAACATAACGATGATTTCACGGAAGAAAATTTGGTTACTCATTACTGGAATGATTGTCCAGTGTTGACTAAATGTACTTTATGTAATATGGTATGTAATTTTATTATCTTCATTATTAAGTGATTTTCTTCAATAATTTATATACTGAATACTATTTATTATTGAAAAAAATAGATCTTGGAAATCTCTACATTAGATGATCACATGTTATACGATTGTGACAAGAGCAAATTTGTTAAACAATGTCCTCGGTGTCGTGAAGTTATCCCAGCTGATAATTATTTGGAACACGTCGCAAATCAATCATGTATGGTCATCCCGTCACATATAGTTCGATGTCCTTTGTGTAAAAGTGTGGTGAAACCCGCCACCGAAGCAGGATGGAAAGAACATTTATTGAATGACGACGGATGTTCGAAAAATCGAAGAAAGAATAGACCCGTAGTCAATTCTGCAACCCCCGCTGTTAATACCACTTCAACAAAAGAACGAGAAAGCTCACACAGTGAAAAACGATCAAAGACGTCTTCACATGATACACCAAAATCATCTGCTCAAAGTAAAACGACGAGTCGGAAAGTCACTGCTAGTTCGACAAAGGATAAACCGAGAAAACCATCAACAAAAACAAGAGTAAGAAGCAACTCATAAAAGAGTAACATTGTTCATTTTTATCATAATTTTTGTTCCCCTCCTCCAAAAAAAAACATTTGCGATTATCAATAAAGATTGTTCGTTTTTGTTGAGAACTAATAATCACGCATCCGTAACGTGTTTTCATTTTATTTTTATTCGTTGATTTTCTACAAATTTTATTAATAAGCCAAAAAAATGACATTACATACTTCTCTTTAAGTGGACATTTTTGATTTATATATTTTTGATATTTTTTATATTTTTTATTTTATTATTTATTCAAATCATTTCTGCTTTTTTTTGCGTGACTGTTTGTACTTAGCAGATTTTGGTGAGTGTACGAAAAAGCGGAGAGATATTATGATCTTGATGTTTGTAAACTTAGTTCTTGTTAAGAATGTAAATTTGATTTTTTATTTCTCATTTGCTATTTTCATACTCACAAACACAAATTGCAGAAACTTTTTTTTCATTTTCTTCTTTGTACTATATTATCGTTGTTATTATTTATTAGTGTAGTTTTATAGTTTTAGATTTTCTGTGAAGTACTCATTGGCTTATTAACATATAATATATTGTGTGTTATCAGAAAAATTACTTGTATAATATTTAAATTCGTGAAATACTCAAATACAATTTGATAAATCACATAATGCCTGTCAGACCTTTTTTTTGCAAAAGTAATAAAATTTAATTATAAAATAAAAATACAAATGTGTTGATTCAGAATTAAATATTAATAAATTCAAAATAATCAATATTAATTAACAATATAAAGCAAATCGATAATAGCATTAAGAATTACACAGTGACACGGACTCTCGACATAGCGGAGACTAATTAAAACCTCGATATAACGGAGTTCAAAACAGCTGTAATAAATCTCGCTCAATATAACGGATTTACTAATAAACGCACGATATAGCGGATTTTTGAAAATTTGTCTCTAATTGCCCGAACCCATCCGTTATATCGAGAGTCGCTGTGTATAATATATTTTATTGAAAATTGAACTTTATAATTATTCTTATTAGAAAAATATATTTTCTAAATAAACTTGCAAATTTCAATATTAATTATAATTTGATATATTTGCCATGATCACAAAAGTGTTCGGCAATCGTTAACGGAAAAATGTATGCATCAAAGTCGCATAACTTTAAGACAAATTTGTATCATAAATCAAGTATCCCAAAAAAAATTATATAAAAATAGTTTGTTCATTTGATAAATAGATTCAATAAATAATTATAATTTTTAAATTTTTTGCATTATTTTTTTATATTTTTATTAGCTACACATATTTTATTTTATTTTTAATTTTCATGTAAATTATTTTTTTTGTCTTTATTTTAATATTAAATTGATTTTTGCTTTTGTTTCAATATTTTTTTGTCATTATTTTAATATTAAATTAATTAATTTTTTACTTTTGTTTTAATATTATTTTATATCCTTTAATTTTTTTCATATTATTTTCATATTTTATTATTAATTTCAAATAATATATAAAAGAAACAAAGTATTTTTTTAAATAATATTAATTTTTTTTTATCATTTTTATTTATCTTTTATTATATAAATATTGATAATGATTATATTACTGATTTTGATGATGATTATATTATTAAAAATAGAAAATACTATAATAATAATTAATAAAATTTCAATATTAATTGTTATTTATATTATAAAATTATGATCTATTTCAAATTTAATAAATAGAAATATATATTATCAAGATAAAGAAATTAAAATAATTCAAAATGAATAATATTTTTTATTAAATTTATATTCATTAAAAATAGAATTTATTAAAAATTTTACATTAATAATTAATCAGATATGTGAAAATTATAAATATATTATTTAGAAAATTTAAATAATATTTTATTAAATTATATATTATTAAATAAAAAAAATATTAAAATTATAAATTAAGATATAAAAATAAAAATAATTTTTTCTTATTATATTATTTAAAAATATAATTTTAAAATCTGAATTAGATTTTATTTTAAATATATATAGTAATAATCAAAAATAATAACTTAGTAGCTAAATTTATTAATAAAATATAGTAAAAATTGAAATTTTCTCTCTATATTAAAATTTATAATTTTATTAAGAAATAATTTTATTTTTATATTAAAATAAAATTTATTAGTTATAATTTAACATATATTTTTTTCAGATTTTTCAGATTTTTTCTAAAAGAGTTATACTAATTATAAAGTTAATATAAAAATTTTTATTAATTAAATTTTATTTTTAATTAGGAAGATATCATTTATTACATGATATTATCCAATTAATAGATCTACCCATTCATATATGGTGTGATAATATAAAATAACATAGCATAAATAATTAATATAATGTAAATTTGCATGAATTAATATAATATAAATCTGATATTAATATATTATAACATGAAATTAGACTATATCATCATGAAAATCCTGAATTACATAATATTGGATATGGAATCAGATCTCGTAATTAATAAAATTAGCAATATATGAATGTATAAAATTAATAAAGTTAATATATATAATCAGAATGCAATAATGCAAAGTCTCAGATTGATATATCATTAGAGAAAAGTCTAATATAAAATGCACTAATAAATTCTGAATATATAAAGATATATCAATAAGATACTAACTAATAAATTAAAACAAAAATAATTTATTAGTCTTGATAATGTGAGATCGTGACAAGAATAGTAAAAGAAAATTTAATTATAAATAAGAAGAACTTTAGAATAGAAGCAAGATAGAAATTATAATTAAGAAATAACTATCAAATAATTTACTATTGTAATAAAATTCTTATTAAATAAAATAAAGATTACTATTATTCTTAAATAAATACATACATTTCTTTGAATTATTATTAATCTGTCCTCACATTTTCTATTAATAAAGTAGTCTATCTTAAGATTATAAATATTAAATAATAAAACTATAATATTATGACTAATGAATTATCTTCTTAGTTATAACTTGAAAAATCTGATATTAATTAATGAAATTATAAATTAATTAACAGAAAACTAATTAAGAAATAATTTGTGATCATATAGTATCACAAATTACTTAGTAAATTTCTTACATATATTCTATCAGATAATAATATGATGTAAATCTGCATCAATAATCTTTAATATTAGATATGTATTTTATATATTTTAGACTTTAATAAAATATAAAGATTTTGACAAGTCTCAATTTTAACAAAAATTTCTTTTATAAAAAATTTATCAACTTGTATTAAGAGTTTTCAAATATCTATATATATTACAAATAAGCAACACACTCTAATACTAGTCTAAATTATCAAGAATTATTAAGAGAAGTATGAGCTGCATAGAAATAAATCAAAAATCAAGACAAAACTATTATTTGGAAATAAATTAAAATATATTTTACTATCTTATCTCATATAATTCAGTCTTATCAGAGTTTTGTAGTTTTGATACCTATTGCAAATTCTTCTATATCAGTATCTACATCCAGCATAACAAAAACTTTCTCATAGGTATCTAATGAGATAAATATCATTACTAAAAATATAATTAGGCAAAATAATATTATTACCAAGATTAAAGAAGCAAGTCAATAATTATATACATATAAATAATTATATATACAGATGCCTAATGATAATTTGAGACAAGTACTAATAACTAAAATTGAAAAAAAGAAGAAAATTATCAAGGAAAGCAAAGTAAAATTAAAGAGACTCAAACATTATGCAAAAGCTCAAGCAAGACTTAAAATGAAAAAGCAAAAAAGACTTGAAGAAAAAAGTATTATTAAAGAATATGACAAACCTAAATAACTACTAGCAGCAATTTCACATCCAGATCTGTAAGATAGCATTTATAATTATATCAAGTTTGAGACTGCTTATGTGAAAAGAAGAAAGATAATAATTAAAGTTTGTATGATTAAATATTTATGTAAAGTATTAAAAGAAAAATATAATATTTACCTCTTATACTAGTATTTATTTACATATTTGGAATTATAACATAAACATACTTTTGCCACTTGTCATTACTATTATTCTGCAAAAGTTAATCTTACATCAGTAATAAGAACTAATATAAAATAATATGTGAATAAATATTACTGCTTAATATCTATTAAAGTAATACAAGCTTTTACTGAGTTTTTTGTAAGTGATTCTATCATTATCTCTTAAGATGATAAAGTAAAAGTCAGTTTAAATATCTCTACAATAGAATAAATATTTAAGATTATTTAAATAGTAAATAAACTTGTGATAATTAAAGATCATGATTTTTTTAAAGAAAGCAAAATAAAACTTGTATCTTCAGTATATTTCTTTATTAACTTTGCTAATTCAAATAGTACTCTTCAAGCTAGTTAACTTGCTATTTTTATATAATCAGAATATTTTACCAGTATATCATCATTGATCTATATGACAGATTTACTAAGTCTCATTGCTAATTCACAGTTTGCCTCTATTATATTGAGAAAAAATAAAGTTAGACCCATATGGATTCTTCTCATTGATAATGGACCTGATGAGAATTTAAAATACTTGAAAAATATTATCAAGTACTACAATTTATTTCATTTTTTGAATCTCAACTATTTAACTGTTTGAATACATATTCCAGGACAGAATGCTTATAATCCTGTAGAGTATAATATGACTTCTCTTTTGAATAAGCTTGCTGGGATCACTCTATCTTTGAATGAGTACAGAATATATTTAAATTCTCAAGATAATATTATAAATGAAGAATTAGCATAGTGTAATTTTGAATTTTCAAGAGAGAGATTATATGAAATTTGAAGAAAAGATAAAATATATGGCAAATCTGTGATAATACAATATGTTGGTGAAAACTCTGAACTATTTGCCAATCTTGAGTAACTAACATGGGAATGAATTGAGAATCACACTTAGTTATGTTGCTACTTAATGGATCTAAAAAAGTATAAGAATCATCAATATTATCATAAATATCAAGC